CCCAGAGCAGAGAGGGGTTGGGCTCTGCCAGTCCTGGGGGCACTTGAAGCTGTTTCCTCTTCTCTTGCCCCTTGTTCCCCGGGAGCAGAGCCTGACCCCCATTTGGATTCACCCTTGTTTCATTCAGGGAGTTGTAGAGAATGAGAAAGTCCCCCCAGAGCCTCCTCCAGGCTGAGCCCCCTCAGCTGCTCCTGGTGCCCCAGCCCCCCTCTCCCAAAGCCCTGGCTGGACTCACAGGCCACTTCCCTCCTGCGCAGCTGCTCCGTCTCCTCCTGGGTTATTGCCATCAGCTGTTCCATCCTGATTCTGCCAACAAACAAAATTCAGCCACTCCTGCAAAAGATCCCTTTTCCTTTACCCACCCAGCTCAGAGCCTCAAGGCTGGGCAGGTTCACCCTGCTCAGGAAAGTTGGGCTTATCAGAGACACCAAAGCTTGGTGATTTTTTGGTGAAGAAAATCTAAGTTTTATGGGTGACAATATTTGCTCAAAACCACAGGGACAGTGGCTTTAGACAGGGAAATTGATTTTTCTGAGAGACAGAATATCAACACAACGTGCACATGCTCTGCCCAAACAGTGCCAGGCCCTTCCCTGGCTCTCCTTTCTGCTGAGCTGGATGAGCCCTGAGCCCAAGGGAGCAGTGCCACTGCAGGCAGCAGCCTGGCCTCCCTCCCCAGCACCCCTGCCCTTGTTCCAGCACATTCCCCCCACCACTGACCAGGTCAGGAGCTGGTGTGGCTGGGGAACAGCCTGACAAACAACTGGATGATGTTCACCCAGTTTACTGGGCCACAGCACAGCTGGCTGAGGGGAGGGGGCAGCTCACAGGCAGGGCAGAGCTGGGGACAGTCACTTTTGGTGCAGAGTTAGCTCACAGTGTTGGCTCAATGGCAGATTTGCTTCCCACCTGCTCCTCCCAGCCTGAACACATTACTGGAACATCCTTATAAATGCCTTGCTTGCCAGCAGATGGAGGATCTCTGTTAGTCCTTGATATTGGACTAGAGTTTTGTTCCCAAACTCATTATTTAGGCCCATTCAGAGATGAAAAAGAGGTAAAATCACCCTGTGACTGGGTGTGCCAGACTGGGTAGGACCAGGCACTCTGAGTCCAGTGTTCCTGCCTCCAACAGTGACCAGAGCCAGCTGCAGGTATGAGAGGAACCTCCCCTGGCCTAGGGTGGATTCAGACTGTGACTCTGACAGGAAGCTCCCAGCTCTCTTCCCAGCTTCTAACCCCTTTTCCAGACAAGTTTGTTTCAGAGACTCACCTCTCATTCTCCAAGGACTTCAAAATATCTGAACTTCGTTTTTGCCTTAAGAAAAAAAAGAAAATATTTTCATCAAACTGAGTAGAACATCCTGGTCCCCCAGAGGGCAGAATCACAGAGTCACAGAATATCCTGACTTGGAAGGGACCCAAAAGTATCATCCAACTCCAGGGCCTGCACAGGACAACCCCAACAATCCCTCCATGTGCCTGAGAGAAAACAACTTTGCTGTCATGCACAGCAGAGCAGCTTTCAGCAGGCTGGGCACCTCCCATCAGCACCAGCTCACACGGACACCCAGCAGACACAGACAGGGGCAACAACACTTCAAATCTGCACTTTCCATGAGGAATTCAAATTTCTTCCATAGCACTGCAAAATCCCAACATCACACATCTGTGAAACAGTTTTTATAAGATACAGAGTTCATGTGCTTGAAATGGGTCTTTGGCAGGGCAGGAGCTCAGGCAGCTCCTCCAGACATCGATCCTGACCAGGTCCAAACCACTCAGAGATGAGCTGAACTGCCCAAAACAACATGACAAAACAAAATCAGAGTAAGACCCACCTCTGGTTGTCCTCCAGCAGCTTCTGGATGCGGCTGGCAATGCCCTGCTCTGTGTCCTTCAGCTGTTGCAGCAGCTTCAGCCTCTCCTCCTCCAAACAGCGCTGGTGCCTCGACAGCCCCTGCTCCAGCCTCTGCTGCTCCTGCCCAGAGCAGGGAAACCAGGAGCAGGTGCTGGGCTTGGGGAAGGCACTGGGTGCCCTGGAAGGGCCTGCCCAGCACACCCACCTCTCTCACTGTCTGCAGGATCTCATCCTTGTGGCTGTTGAGCTGCTGCACCAGCAGGGCCTGCTCTCGCTGCCCCACGTTCAGGCGCCGCTCAAATTCCAGCTTCTCCTGAGTTTTTCTTTCCTGAGAGGAATCAGAAGAAAGATGAAGGACAGGAATCTCCTTCCCCAGCAAGAACATATCCTGGCAAAAAGGTAGAGCAAGGGACAGGAGTCCTTTGCAGAGAAGGGAAGCTAAATGGCAAACAGGAGGCTTGTCTAGGGGAGGAGAATGTTCTCTCCTCAAGAACCCAAAAAGTGGGAAGCAGAAGCTGCTGCTCCCTTCATAACAATCTCCAAACTCTTCCCTGTCATGGAGCTGAATTCCCTGGGCATTGACTGATACCAAACCAGGCAATATAAACACGGGCAGAGAAGCCCAAAATGCAGGCTGGGTTCAGCTCCCCATGGCACAGGACCCCCCAGTCTGAAGGAAGCAGCCAGCTCTGAGCAACTCGAGCAAAAATCACTGGGGAACAGCAAGGCAGGAGCTTCTGGCTGTTTCAAAGTGAGCCATGCACAGGGGAAGAGACAGAGACCAGGCAAACAAAAAGAACAAACTAAAAGTGCAGCCAGGTGAGGGGAATGAGAAGCAAAATAAAAAGATGGAAAACAAAAACCAGAAGCAGACCCATGCTGCAGACAAAGCAGTTGCAGGAGTTGATCCTTACCTTCCTCTTCTCATAATCCAAGAATTTGTTCTGAAAAATAAGCAATATCAGCAGACATTTATTCCCAGAAGTACTTTTGTGTAGATATTATTATTCCACAGTACAGTGTCCCCATACTGAGTGAAGACATCAACCAAAGGCACAGCAACACAAGCCCCAAGTCCAGTCCCTCAGGCTTCTCCAGGGGCACAGGCAGTGACTCTGCACTTGCCAAAGAGCACAGGAATCACCACAATTATTGGCCCAGCCTCCCCTTTCCCAGGCAGGGCTGAACATGTCTAGCACTTGGCTGGGAAGCACAAAGTTCTGCAGTTTGCTGTCCCCCCAAAAACACACTGCACACTCCATGTGCCCCTGTCACCCCTGTCCCTTGGCTCCATCACTGCTTTCTGAGATGGGGACAGCTCTTTGGGATGTGTCCTCAGGAGGAAGTGTGGCAACACCAGCCCAGCTGAGGAAGGATGAGCCACCCTTGCTACTCCCTCAATCCCAAAAGACACAGCTCATGGAGGGCAAGGTGATGAGGGATGATGAGCCAAGTGCTGTGAGATGCTTTGGGGGAGCACACAGACAAATCCCAAACCCTCTGGGGCAGGGGAGCCTCACCTGCCACTCACTCTCCTCCTCCAGGTACTTCTGCACTGTCCTGTCCACCCCATCCACGGAAGTTCCTCCTCCATCGCTCTCTGGTGTGGGGAGCAGGTGCTGGGAGGGAGGGGAGTATGCAATTCCACACTCTGCAAGGCACCAGACACAAAATAACAACATCTGAGGCTCAAAGACCTCCTTGGCACCGTGGCTGTGAGCTGGCTGCTGTGTGGGGCTGCTTCCAGCTGTGCCCACACACCAGGGAGTGCCTGGCAGGGCTCCTCCAGCTGGGGCTCATTTTGCATTTAATGATGGCAAAAGGATGATGGAGCTCTGGGGGGAGGTGGGGCCACTCCATCCCCACAAGCACAAGGATCTGCTCAGACAGAAACACATCCTGCAGCTTGGTGACTTCTGCAGGGCTGCAGATGTTGCCCAGACCAAAATAAGTTCTGACTGTCCTGTTTTTTCAGGGAATATCTCAATGGCTGGCAAGGCCTTTCCCCTGCATAAAACCTCCACCAAAACTCCCTGTCTGTATTAAACACAGTGGCTGCAAACTCCCAGAATATTATCTGTGAGTTTGAGTTCTCCATCTGTTTTCACCATTCTCCAAACAACCTGCAGGGCCCAGATCCTTCCTCAGAGAAAATGAGGGCACCTTGAGTGACTCCTGAGTGTCTCTCCTTGTCCCAAGGCAGTGACAGCTGACAATGGCCAATCCTCCCACAGGAGAAAACCCAAATAACCACGGGAGGTGCACTGACCTCTTATGGCCACTGGGACAGCCTGACCCAGCCACTGTGATTGTTATCAAACCACTCTGCATGCCAGGGCTCAGGGCAGGCTCAGGGCTCAGGGCAGGACTCCTGCTGTGCTGTTTGCCAACACAGTACCCAGGTGTGCAGGGCATCACCAACCACCCCAAGCAGAGCCCACACCATGTCTGTCCTCCAGAAATGCCATCTCTGGGCACAGCCCAGCTGCTCCTGCCTTACCTGTGCACAGGAACTGCTGGATGGCCTCTGTGCCTGCACTGCAGATCTCAGGGGGTGGGTAGGTCATGGCAGAGGCATCCAGGGTCAGAGTCTCCAAAACAGAACACACAGAGCTCCAGGTTATTCTGAGTCCAGCTGCAGTTTTCCTTGCAGCTCCCCAAAATCTTACTTCATTTTACCCTAAATCCTAACATAAATGTGAGGCTGTATTGAATCCTGTGGCAGTACCAGTCTCTGGTTTTTCTGGGTCTGGATTGAAGGCACTTGAGACAGGAATTCATGTTGGGACTCAGGTGTTTATTATTTCTTACCAGTAGAACAGTCTCACTGCTGTGAGTTGGGCAGCTTTTCATTAGAAGGCACAAAATGGCCAACAATCTCTTGTTCCAAGGTCTTTTAAGACTAAACTATCCAATTAAGAACTGACACCTGGATTATTTCCCCTTTTAACCCAATCACTGATCCCACAGAGCCCACAAGGCAGACTGGTCTGCCCAATTACAAAATGCCACCCAAACCCATGGAGAAGGAGGAATAAGAAGTAAGAAGAAGAAACTCAGGATGGCACCCTGTGCCCTCCATCTTGCTCCTACCCACAACACACTAAAAATAAAAAAATCCAAATTTCTCACCAAGTGATACACCTACACTGCTCTCTATAATCTATTCACACTTTTGTGGATTCCAGTCTATCTTGAAGCCTGGGAAATTTTCTCCATGAATGAGGGTCAAGGTCAGTGCTCCCCTGGGGGTCAGGGCACCCCAGAGCAGACAGAGGAATATTCCCTGTGCCCTGGCTTTGCACAGAATCCTTGCTGGGTGTCTGGCACCCTTCAGAGGTGACTCCACTGCCCCTTGTTTGGAAGTTTCTGAGCTGGCCATCCATTGAACATTCCCCTCATGCAGGCACTGGCATTTCATTCAGGTACCAGGGGTCAGAGCACTTCTCAGCTCAGACATTCCCTATCCATGTCAGGAGCTCAGCATGGAAATGGGGTGATACCAGGGCATGGAGAGGAATCCCATAAAGAAAGAGGGGAAGAGCCATTTGTTTTGTCCTAGTGTGGCCACCAAAGGACCCAATACTGCCTTGTGCAGGGAAGGGCACAGCAGGAAGGCCTAGAAAGGAACCACCTTATCAAGCACAGGGGGCAAAGCTGTACAGATGCCTCAACTCAGGCTGTGCTCATGAGAAGTGAAGCAAAATGTTGTGTGAGACAGGAGAGCATTTATTCACACCTTCCTGCTGGTGTCTGAGGCAGCCCTGCTGCCTCACACTTGCACCATTGAGTACTGACAGGTTTGGCAGCCAAAAGGCAACAGATCCATAAAAATCCTGCTACTTTTCCCATTCTGAATGTGCACATCAGAGAGCCATAAACACATGAAAGCTGATAACAAGTTGGAGGTCTGCCAGGGTGACAGAAGCATGATTTGTGCTTTTAAAGACAGCCCTGGCAAGTAAAATCCAGGGGTTCACTCTCTGGGAATCGCTTTTGTCATGATTAAGTGACAAAATTATCAGAAGTAAATGACAAAATTATCAGATTAAATAGTAAAAATGATCAGAAAAGACCAGAGCAGGTACATGGAAGTCATTGTGGACAGTGTGAACAGCCTGTTACAACTCCC